ACATGCTACATGGCTGGGCACTGTGGCAGAGTGTCAGCAGAGGGCATATTGATTGACAAACCAGTCTGTAGACAATGTTGCTTGGTCAAGTGATCACTCACAAGCAAGAAGTCCATTTTTTAAACAGCTGGGTAAAAGTAAGAATATCTGACACAAAAATGTGCACCATTCACTGGCCATGTGAACTCTCAAGGGTGTATGTATGTATGTATGTATGTATGTATGTATGTATGTATGTACCTATGAAAGCAAGTGGCTATTTATCCCTTTCACAGCCAAGCCCTCCGGAACGCTTTTAACCTCAGCTGTTTTTTATTTTCAACTGCAATTTTTAAAGATTGTTAAAGACACCCCAAACCATATATTTTGTTAAAAAAAAAAAAAAAAAAAAACTGTAAATAAGCCACTTATGTTAAAAATTGTTTGTGCGCTGTGTTGGTGTGTGTGTTGTGATTAACTGTGCACCTGTATATTTTATCACAACACACAGCAATGCGTCACAATGCTTTGCCATGCCCCGCCACACAGTTTAATTGAAATTAATTTAAAAAATCAAGCACTGCAATGCGTTTTAACAATGCACTGCAGCGCATGGCGTACACCGCAATATGGTGCACGTGTGTGTGTGTGTGTGTGTGTGTGTGTGTGTGTAGGAGGGGGGGGGGTTTGATTTTTTTGTTTTTTTATTATTACGTTTTTTTTATTACTTTTACTTTTAGGGACTTTGGGGAAATGTCAGGGGTCTAAACAGACCCCTGACATTTCCCTTTTGAAATAGAAAAAGAACTAGAGTCCTCGATCTCTTTCAGCAGCCTCTGTTATGAATGAATAGAAAGCACTCAGTACAGAGGCTTCCCATTCATTCACAAACTGTGAATGGGTAGAAAGCCTCTGTACGGAGTGCTTCTGCCCATTCAGAAACTCATGAACGAACAAGAAGTGATGTAAAGCACTTCCTGTTCATTCATAACTGGGGACCCATAGTACTGTGTCTCCCCAGTTGTTTACAAACACTGGAGTGAACAGCAATCACTCCAGCGTGTGCTCTGCACACAGAGGATCAGTAAATATCAGATATTTACCAATCCTCCGCTCCGTTACGCACAGAGCCGCTGTCATCCTGAAACTGACCAGATAACAGCGGCTCCTCTCTCTCGCTCTCTCCTGACAAGCAGCTCACTTATAAAAAGGAACCATGAGCTTACAGCAAAACTAAAGCCACCGACGTATGGCATACTGACGTGGCCAGCTGCAAGCGGTTGTGTTCCGCCGTATATGCCATATGTCGGAAGCAGCAAAAGAGTTAATTGGTAATGAATGCTCAAGCCCTAAAGCTGGACAGACTTGAAAGGATTACCTCACCAGGTCAAAAATCAAATGCTATTAATGCCTTGAAGTGTGCGTAAAACCATTTTTTTTTTGTTTTTCTGTTCTGGATAGCGTGTTGAAAGCCCCATAAAGTTTTATTGCCGCTTGTGTCCTTGGTGGATCCTCTATTTGTCTTGAAACTAAACCAAAAAATTGTTTGGTCACAGGAGCAGGAATAGAAGGGAAATTTTGCAATACAGGTACTTGTTCCACTCACAAAAAGTCGTAGGCTACATTCACACACGGTGGCTGGGGATCCTGCGGCAAGAACCTACAGATCTGTGTTCATACAGATGCAGCCGCTGTACCTGTTCAAGTTAATGACAGGCTGACAGCGGACACATCCCCCAGCAGCAGTTCAAATGTTATCGTTCATGGAATGATTACCTGCAGTTTCGGGATAGAGGATTGTCCCTGGACACAATCTGTCTGCCTGTCAAAAAAATTCAAATTGTTCTATTGCTTGTGCATTTGACATTATCTTTAAGGATTGTTCAAAGTCAGAGGGTTGCCCAATATCTCTGCAATTGTCATTTTCAGACAAATGTTCAGAACTCTGACATCGCATTTGAATCCTTAGGTATGATTGCAATAAAAGTCAATAACCAGTTATAAAATACTAGCACATGGCAGAAATCATTTTAAAATAAAATGGCAATATTTTATTATCAATTCATGTCAGTTTGGGCAAATTTCCTGAAACGTAAGCCAGTGACAGGGTGTCGCTGAATGAGCATTGAGATCTGCCCCTAATTACTTCTAAATGCCAATATAATGTTGCTGGGTAACAGCACAAAAAACAGTGTAAAGAATTATATAAAAGTCAATTGCACAGTGTTTGCTTTTCCATCAACCAGCATGATACTAGTATAAACGAAGCACCAACTTCATTTGGAAATCTCATCATCATTCTACTCATAAATCACCCAAGAAACCTGTCACACCTTTCTACCTCATAATGCAGAAATGTAACACAAGATAATCAAACATAAGCATGTTTGCAGTAAAAGTCAATAATCGGTTATAATAAAAAGGTTATCATTAGAGGCGTCCACTTCACTTAAGATGTACACCTCACATCCTTGTTCAGTATCTTTTTGTCAACAGCTAAGGAATTCTCATTTTTTACTGCACTACCTGCTACCCGAGATTGCACCTATTGTGGTGTCAACTCTACTCTGCCAGCAAATGGGGGAGAGGGTACTAAAGAATGCAGTCTAAATTTAACATACACCGGTCCTCGATTTTTTTAAAGATCACCAACTAGATTGCAAAAATGCCACCAGCAAAGTCTGTGCAAGTGTATGAGCTCTGTGCTTCTATTCCTTGCTATTCAGCCATTTGTTCCTATGCAGTTCCTAAATAAAAGCTTGTACTCAGGTCAGTAGGGATTAAGAGTACAGAGCACGTGCGAGGGTCTGGCCAGATATATATTGTGACAGAACAACTGTCCTGGATTCTGGATCAGGGACAGGTGAGTAAGGGGGGAACATTACTATAGAAGTGGAACTGCTCCAGAGATAGTTACATTTTAATGGATTCATTTAAGTGACACTATACTTTGTGTTGTAAAAGTAGTCACCGCTCCAAGCTCACTCCTGTGACAGACTACAATCTCAATACAAATTAGTAAACTAAACATGGGATTGTAGTCCATCACAGGAGTGAGCTTGGAGCGGTGACTACTTTACAACACACATAGGGAACATGGGGAACAAAAGTAGCCCCCCTCCAGAAGGAAGGACGGTGTCAGCATGAACTCAGATGATTTGAGGGTCTACAGCTGAGTGATACACAAATGAGATACATTTTTGTAGGGTTTGTGAATGCATTTTTACGATTAAAGTGATATTAAAGCCACATTTTTTTAAAATTTCTCCTTTGCTGGAGGTTGTTTTTTTTTTTTTCTTTAAAAGTTTTTCATTCCTCGTTTTCTAGTGGGTCCCCCGCCATGTTCTTCCCCCTGGCCAGGTGCCACCATCGTTCTAATGGAGGCGCCCGTGCGTCCATAGACACACACAGCCCTGTGGCAGGCCACGCCCCTTCCCTCTTTGATTGATGGCAGAAGGAGCCTATGGCTTCTCTGCCATCAGTATCCTCCCCCTGCAACCCGGAAGTTCGGGGAACGGAGGATTGCTTCGGGACCTGCGGCGGGGACGAGTGCAGCTGACAGGCAAAGTGTACGGGAGACTAAGGGGGACTGTGGTAGAAAAAAAAGGTGCTGGGCCGTTTTTACCCTAATGCAGAAAATACATTAAGGTAAAAAATGCCCAGACCTTAATACTACTTTAAATGTTACTAGGCAAGTTATTTCTTTGTATAAGGCAACACAGGAAGAAATGTCAGCCTATTTACACTTTTACTGTGCTTTGTTTTATTTTATATTGTACCTTATACTTTGTGTTGTGAATCATGATATACGTGTACCACATTGGAACTGCATTATGTTATGTGTGTACATCTTAACAAAAAATACAAATAAATAAAACTGGCCACAGACGGAAGATAGATAATGCAGCCATAATGTTTAAAATTCAGAAGTAGTGAACATGACGTGCAGCATCAGTCTTGAAGTGGAGCTCAAACACTTTTTTGCACTGCCCCTTGGGAATGCATGGAAACTCTTATTTAAAATGGAATAAGAGGGTAACAAGGTGTAATGTCTAAAACTACTTAGTAAGTTGCAGGAATACACCACCGTGCACACAGTCACACATATATTACAAAAGGTAAAAAAAAAAAAAAAAAGTTCAAACAGAAAATAAAAATGACAGGAAACATGAAAAATGAAAATGACAGGAAACATGAAAAATGAATGTCAGGAAGCAAAAACATAAAATATTTCAACAAGCATATCCTACAGGAGTCACAACATGACTTGGTTTATATTGTCACCATGGGGAGCAGGGAATATCAGAAAGCTGCAATGGCCTCTGATTATGAGGCATCCTGTGTTTGTGCTCTATAGACAAAAAAATAAAAAAGCTGTTCCCACTCCAAACAAAATCCACATTTGTCCACAATGCTTCTTTGTGTCCCAAGAAAGTCGATCGCTGCAAGCTATCACCACTTCAATTCCTTAAAGCAAACCGGTCAGCCATTTAAAGTGCTGCCTAAATGGCCTTATTGCCTGCACTGACTTGAATTGTTCTCATTACTATTCCCAAATGGATTAGTGTCAATATCAATGACAATTTCAAAGTGCTCTACACGCAGTACATAGCCTAAAATGCTCTGTAAGATAAGTACTACCAGCACAGTAAATAAATGAGTGGGAAATTACAAACTGAAGAGATTAGAGAATGGAAGCATGGACTATGTTTAAAGCGGAGGTGCAAACACTCATCTTGTGAATTTACATTGCACCATCAATGTTTATTTTCAATCAATAAAACATCTAAAATACTTCAGATTCTTTACTGCAAAACATTACTATTAAAGTGGGGCCTTTACTGATACACTGAGAAAGTCATGCTTGTGGCCTGAACCTATGTGCAGCTAGAAATAATTATAAGAGCAATGTTTCACAGATTTTAATGTACCCCTGCAATGCAAGGGTTAAGGGTTTGTTTTCGTCTAGAAAAAATACTGACCTGATCCTCAGAGGCAGCTTACTCTTAGGGCTTGTTCACACCATGCCAGGTCATGTCCAGAGCAGAACAGTTTGTTCCTGGACCAAATAAGCATCCCAATGTATCCCTATGTTATTTCTGGGCTCTGTTCACACCAGCGCAGTCTGTTTCGGCCCACACACACGAAAAAAAAAAAAAAAGTGCTGCTCCTCTCTATTTCTCTGGTCTGGAATGCACGGAAAAGCACCAAAACGCATACAAATGCATGGAACTCACTGGACTGTACCTGAAGCCCAATTAAGGGCTGGTTCGCCCCATAAACGTTGCAGAGCGGTCAGCCTCTGGAACGCACTATCGCATACTGGCTGGCTTCCTGCATTCAGGGGCGGGAGGGGATGCAAGCACTATTTTTGCAGATCGCACTAGACTGGAACTTTTCGACACGTTCTTGTGCAGGCCATCGCACTGACTTCATCCTGCCCCTGAACGCAGTAAGCCAGCTGGAATGCAATGGTGTTTATGGAGTAAACTGGCTCTCAAGCTTAAGAAAAAAAAAACGCACCAGAACACAGCAAAATCACTGTAAAATCGCTGCAAAAATGCACTGCACTGCGTTTGCAGATGTGCTCCACATCTGGTCTGGACATGTTGTGAACATAGCCTCACAGGTTACCTGGAACCTCTCCCCCTCCGCTGCAGCAGTCTAAGGTCCCATAAATGTTCAAGTTCTATGTATAGATGTAAGGATGTGGATTCCAATGTTGCAGCATAGGAAGAGACAGGCTTCAGTGACAGAAGCAGGCAGCCAGGTGAGTATACCTTTTTAACAGCTGTCAGGAACATGATCCAGAGCAATAATGTGCATCCATTGCTGGAATGCATGGAGAGATGAGGGGTCAAAAAAGCAGCTGGACGAGATCAATTGGTAGAGCTAAAAGATGAATTGGTAGAGCTAAAAAAAAAAAAAAAAAAAAAAAAAGAAGGAGTACCTGGTAGAGGTCAATGACAGCTGACACAGCATTAGAAGCATTGAAAAAATAAATGGAGGCAGTTTGTATGGCTGTCTTGAGTCTGGTACAGAAGTAGGAAAAAAATAAAAAATAAAGAAACGTATGCTGCCCATAGAAGTCAATGTGGAGTTTCCTTTTAATGTGCCCCCTCTAATTAGAAATCAAAGTTGAATCCTGTTTGGCTGCTATGCCAACCAGAATTTTGTTTTCCATTAATACACCACACAGAGCTATAAAAGTAACTGTTGGCAGGTAAATGCAAAACATCTTTGCTGTACAATTTTGTGCATTGAAGCAGAAATATCTGGTCACACCCAGCGTGCTGTGCAATGAGGCACAATGGAGCAGAACACCCTCGCCAAGCACCACTAGCTTGACATTTAACATTTACAGACATTTTTTATGTACATCACCAAGTCACCTCTTCATTGTCAGTATTCCTATGTCAGCAGTCTTAAGAAGGAGCATCGAAAGGTTATTTGCTGTTTAGTTGGCATGTTCTATTGACTCCTATCTGTAGAGCAGGCAAATATTAGCTGTCATATTGTATCCCGGGGAAAGCACAGTACACAGAAATTCCCGTCATCCAGGAGGTGAAAGAAGCAGTAAATTTAACAGCAAGTTAAAAAATATATATTTATTTTGATTGAACATTACATTAGATCTTTGGGTTGCAATGTACACCAAGGACCAACGGCAAGAGTCAGGAATGAGTGTTAGTCAGTGTCAGGCTAGGTTCACACCTAGGCGACTCCTGACTGCGGCAATCCACACGCTTTTGTGCATTATTGCTGCGCGGTCGGGAGTCGTCAAGGAGTGAACCGATCGCGCTGTGGGTGCCATTATTTTCTATGTCTCGGCCGGGCGGATTGTGCGGTTTCCCGCCGCAATTCCACCCATGCAAGTGAACACGATCACGGCTGAAAAAACAATGGGGCCGTGAGGCAATTGCTGTGCGCACCAGCACATGATCGCACATCCCGGGTGTCACGCAGTGTAGAACAACAGTGGCAGGTGTGAACCTAGCCTTAGTATATATAGCTGAGACAAAGCTTTCACACTGTAGGTAGGTGGCTAATAGGTGGCTGATAGACCACCATAGTACCTGTTCTAAATTGATGATGAGCCTCCAGTGCCTTATGCATACACTTGTCAGTTATTTAGAGTCTAAACCTTGCACTTTTGCCCCACTAAAGTACTGGAAAACAATACAGTGCTAAACTACTTTTATCAAAGTGTTAATGGGATAGCAGAACGATGCAATGTGTCCAGAGTGAGCGGACATGTTTCTAGAGTGTATGGCTATAGCGTCGTGGAGGAAGGGCCATAAACTTATTTCCAATTTGGCCCCCTAGAACCTCAAGAAGCGTTCGTAGCCTGCAAACCACTGTTCTCTGGCTGATCAATCCTCTACTTTTTCTAGATTCATATTGCAACAGTAATTACTCGGAAGCCAAGAGGTGCTCAATGTGCCTGACCCTGCTTCTGACAGATGCAAAAGAAAACCAGTAACCTGGAGCAAGCAGCAATGAAAAGCTGCAGATAGGTAAGAAGTAGTTAACCATAAAAACACAACTGACACAAAGCTGCAAGATTGCTTGGAGGAAACCTGTGAACATCTGTAGTCAAGAAAAGCCCCTCTGATCGCAGTTTCACTTCATTACAAAAGTACCTGACTTTCAATTTAGCCTTTAATGTCACTTTTTAACGGGGGCCATGGGCAAGGGGAAATGCCTCACCGAAAACGGGCCCCACTGCACGTCACTGGTAGCATGTGCTTTGCCCATACTACAAAATGTCCAAGCCTGTGGACAAACACAAAAATGTCTTAATTCAGACCTGTGATAAAATATGGCTCATTATAGGATGTATTTAGACCTCCTGAGAAGACAATGGGGGACATCTCAGAAAGTATTAGTGCGGTTAAAAAAACGCGCAACGCGCGTTTCCGTGGGCTACTTGGCTGTATCCCAATGGAAACGCGAGACCAAAACGCCCCAAAGAAGTACATGTACTTCTTTGGGCGTAGGCCGTTTTGTATCGCGTTCGGACGGGCGGAAATACAAGGTGTGAACCAGACCCTTTGAATACAATGGGATTTAGATGTTTGACCGTTTTGTAGAGCGTTGAACGCGCTACAAAACGTTCAGGCCTTAGGAAACAGTGTGAGAAAAGGGTGCAGCTCTAGTATTAAAATCACCACCAACAGAAGCAGAATTCCATGCATGATGGCCACAAGTTTTATCAAGGCAGCAGGATATCAAACCCTCCAGTTCTGAAGAGACTTGTCTTTTAGCTACTTATGAATTCTCTCTTGTATGCAGTGAGGTGTCGAAGATACATATTCACATTGGATCAACATGCATTTCTGGTTCAGCAACAAAGTTGCAAGAGAGTAGAGACGCTCAGTTAACAAAATAAGCAGTGGAAAGTAATGAAAATAAAAACTGCCTTACAAGACAAAAGGAAGAGAGATCTACCATACATGTCAACAGCTGAATCCTGGCCAAGTGTCAGACATCGTAATAAGAGAGATGCCATTGTTTATAAACATTACAGCCGTACATTACCAGCAAGTCAGTGAAAGGAACTCAATAAAATGTTGTAATACTTTCTAAAACTAGTTTTCTACATCTGTAGCTTCAACTTTAGGGATTTAATTCCAAAGTAAACCTTGATCTTAAAATATATTATCTTCAATCTTTTCCCCAAATCTTGCATAACTCACAGCTACCAATACAACGAGAGCCATAAGACATATGTGGAAGAGAGCCCAGGAAAAGCAGAATACAACGGATTAGCTTAAAGCACGATATTTACGATCTAGGGATTGTTATTTTTAGTCTTATTCAGTCACCTACACACAACTTTGAATATACAGCTTCTAACAAAGATTTGAAGGGGAAGAGGAGTCAAATGGCTATCAATACTTAGCAGCTGTCTATTCTGTCTCTTGTACATCCAATGCAGAATTTTGTATTGGTTTTCCTTTTTACCAGAACAGGATAAACATGAAACTGACAAAAAGAGGTATAATAAGTGTGCCTCTGGGATCATGGTGTCGAACACGGACTTGAATAAAACTAGTAAAATACCTGGAATTGGATATTACCAAGGCCCAGAATCTAACGCTGGATTCCCCCTCTGTAATTTTAAGCTGGCCATACACTATGCCATACTTGATGAACTGGCTGAAACGTTGTCAGCATCCTTTCGGCTGGCATCCCTCGATCAGCTGATCGAAGGAGTCGTTTGGAAAATCTTCAAAGGAACAGAGCCAGCAGCCAACGAGTAGCCGGCTCTGTTCGGGCATTCCGAAAGGGGTCTGTGTCAGAATACAATGAAGACAGCGGGAGAATCCTCGATCAATGCTCATAAGCTTGGATGGAGGAATCAGTTATATTCTCTTGCAGGTTGAAAGAAGAAACTATTACAGTGCATATTTTCTTACATGAG